GGTTTCAACTCAGGGCCTCACACTTGCTTGGCAGGCACTCTACCACTTGAGCCACTCTACCAGTCCTTTTTTTGTGATGGATTTTTTTCAAGATACAGTCTCATGAACTATTTGTCCAGGCTGGCTTCAAACCAGTATGTTCCTGATCTCTGCCTCTTGTGTAGATAGGATTACAGGTGTGAGCCACTGGCGCTTGGCTTGTTTTTCAAATACAGTCTTGCATTTATGTCCGTGGCCAGCATGGACCATGATCCTCCTGCTTATGCTTCCCATGTAGCTGGTGTGCACCACCACACCAATTTTTATTGTTTGAGGTGGGAACTTGTGAACTTTTTGCCTGGGATGGCCTCAAACCATAATCCTCCAGATCTCTACCTTCCAAATGGTTAGGATTACATGTGTGAGCCACTGTGCCCAGCAGATATTACACTTTTCAGCTCCAAAGTTTCTCTTTGGTGATTAAAAAATAATTTCTATCTACTGATAATCTCTATTTGGTAAGACATTGTTTTCATCTTTTCCTTTAGATTTTTTAGACATAGTTTTCTTCAGTTCTTTGAATGTTTTAAATAAACAATTTATAGTCTATCTTGTAAGTTCAATGTCTAGGCTTCCTCAGGGTAATTTTTTGCTGATTGCTACACCCCCCCCCAGTCTACTGTGCATGTGCCATATTTTTTGTTTCTTTACATGTCTTATAATTTTTGTTGAAAACTGGACATTCTAAATAATATAATGTGGCATCTCTGGAAATCATATTCTTCCCTGTCTTCAAGGTTTGTTATTATTGCTGTTTATTGTGGCTGACTGCTTGTATACTGACTTACTCATTCTGTAAGTCTGTATCCTTTGTTGTGTGTGGCCTGTAAGTGTTTGCTTGGTTAGTTTAGTGGCCATCCAATGATTGGTCAGAGGTTTCTTTAAATAATTTCAACAAAGGAGTCTCCCAGTCCTTGCTGAGAGAATATATATATTCATTCTTCTAGTTGAGAGTCACTTGCTGACATGCAGGACACCAGCAGCTCCCAATCACTGTGGGGCACTGAAGATTAACAAGAGAATCTGTACAATTTTTGGAAGCTACCAAATTCCAAACCCCAGGGGACCATTCACAGCAGAAATGGCACCAGCTCTTCTAGGGTCTCCCGTTTCTATATAGTGAGTCTCTGGTGGCTACTGTTCTGGTTTCTGGTGATTGTCCTGCTCTAGCTGCTCCTTTTGTTTTATCCAGTGGAATCTTTAATGTTTATCCCCACTCCCAGTTTAAAAGCAGGCCAAAGAATCACTACTGCTACTCCAGCCCCTACCTTAGGTCCACCTTCAGTCCTCATTCCCACTCCTTTTACCCTCTTCTTCATCCAGATTAAAGCTTCTGGGAGTATACTTTCCTAGGACCCAGAAGGAGGTATAGCCTCTCACCTCAAATGAAGTTGAATACTTGATGCAGTAGGTGGACAATTTCTTGATTTTACTCTCTGTGACCCAAAGGCCTTAGGAAGCATTCAGTCTTCAGCTTTCAACTTTTTTTTTTTGGTGGGATATGGAGTTTGAACTCAGGGCTTTGCATTTACAAAGTGGTTGTTCTACTTGAGCCATACCTCCAGTCCCTGACTTTTATTTTTTTTTTTTGGCAGTACTGGAGTTTGAACTCAGGGCCTTGCACTTGCTAGGCAGGCACTCTACCACTTGAGTCATGTCCCAGCCCCCCAACTTTTTTTAAGTATATGGTAGACAAGTGCTCTACCACTAAGCTACATCCCAAACCTTCCAAATTTTTTCAGTAGAGTCTGACCTCTCAGGTCTATGTGTCATTTTTTCCATTCTTCCTGGAGAATTTCCTATAAGTAATAATATTTGGAATCAACTAGGGTACCACCTTTGAAACAGCCTCACTGTTATACTGGTGGGTTCTGGCCTTGAGCCAAGAACCTCTTATACTGACACAGCTTCAGGACAACTAACAGACACATCTCAGCTAAGGAACAAGCATAGACTGTCACAGCCCTCTAGGTGTTTATAGACCACAGAAGCCGGAATCTACGGAAGATCTGATTGGGCACTCAAGAAGCTTCCATGTGAAGAGCCCCACAAAGTTCCAGCTCGGGAATGACCTAAGGAAGGGTGTGAGGCATAGTCTGAGAAAGGGCCCCAAAGGTAACCTATCAAGGAGTTTGCAAAGTTACCGAGGTTTAGGGGAGTGACTTAAGAAGAGACAAAAATGACTTGTTGAGTCACTTAGGTCATGAAATGACTTAGCAATGTATTCAAGAGAGACTGTGTACTGGAAGCAATTGGAAAACACTCTGAAGATTTATTTGAGCAAGAAAATGGGCAGATATATCAGAGTAGGACCTTATAGATATGTATTGTTCATGGCTTGCTGACAGCCACACATTGCCCCCTCCTCGGAAGTCCTATAGCTTCTTGAAAATTGGAATTTCAAGAATTAACAACATTACCTAAATACCTCTAGGAAGATCTCCTTTCTGGATTCAGGCATTTCACATGTACCAGAAGCCTAGATGGTATGATTTTGAGTGTGATAGAGGCAGAAATTACCTCTCAAGGCCTTTTGAGTCCATGAAACTGTTAAGGTGATAGAGGCTCAATTATGGCCCCTTTCCTATCCAGCTTTCATTCTCAGCCACCCATGTTTCAGGGATAGCTAAGTGGAGATTGCTTAGCTCATTGAAAGGAATCCTTATGCAGGTTGAAGATAAGATTATAAAAATATTCAGTCTTAGGGCTGGCAACATACCTCATTGGTAGAGAACTTGCCTAGCATGCACAAGGACCTGGGTTGATCCCCTGCGGGGAAAAAAAATCCCCATCTTGGATAGTCCTTTCTGATACCATTACCATGGATTAATTGCATGAGGGAACAAAAAGAAGCAGTCAAGAGTTACTTCAAGTCAAACAACAGTAGAATATGACCCAAAAGATGAGAGCAGAGCTGCATCCCTACAGACTGTGCAGTTTGGAGGAGCAGTGCCCAGAGGTAGACAGAGACAAGAGGGTCTGGAGGGGCTCATCACAGAGGGGAGCATCCTTTGAGTTTGCTCTTTACAAAAGAGATATTGGAGACTTCTCCAAGGGCCAAAGAGATGAGGGGGAAGTGAGGTCCAAGGAAACTCAGCACCTAAGCCATAATCAAAAGATGTCTTGAGATCCAGTGAGCTAGGAGATGAACAGAAGCTAAATGGCTATCTGAACAGTCAAGGGACTCCAGTGACCAATTGTCATACGAAATGAAGAAATGATTGTCATAGTTATTATCATTACAAATTTATACACACACACACACACACACACACACACACACACATACACACTCACACACACACCCCAACTACAAGCCATAAAACATTCAGGGGTTTGTCAAAATGTGAAAACCCAATAAAGACCTCATTACCCAAGAACCAGGACCCACAGTCTTCCTCCAGCTCTGTTACCATCTTGACTTCTACACAACTTACTCTGTCTCTGTCTCTCTTCAGTCTCTCTCCTATGTGTATGTAGGATTATGCAGGCATTGAAGGTCATTGAATAAATTCCCACACAGACTCTATCTAAGAAGTATAAAGTTCAAGTTGCAGGTTGAACTATAAAGCTAGCCTCAGAGCATTCCCACTATATGGCCCTTGCCTTGTGTTTTCTGGCTTATAGGATTTCATAGTCCCATGAGTGCTAAAGAATGTGCTCAGTGAAGACAAGACAATTTCCTAGGTCCTGTGTGTTCACATGGGAGCCAGAAGAAATCTGGCCTAGCAGACCCAGATCCCAAAGTTTCAGGTCTCAGAAAAGAGCCAGGACAAGAATGCAGGGTTGGAGGCATGGCTCAAGTTACAGCATGATTGTCTAGCATGCCCAACGCCCTGGGTTTAATCTACAGTATCATAACAAAAAAGGTTTTAACTCCAAGTAAAGAGAGGGACTACCCTAGGACCCCCAAAGAAGGAGCATGGTGCAGCAGGTACAGGTCAACCCCCCCTGGTTTTGGTACTAAGAGGAACAGTCTCCCGAAAAAAGGTCCTTCAGGTAAAAGGACGAGGAGCTTTTGTGGTGTCTCTGTCCTGGGATGAAAGATGAGGCAGGAAGGTTGCTGTGACACCCAGTGAGTGTCCATCTCTTTGTGGAGCCAGGCCCAGATGAAGGCAGCAGTTTTCATGGCACTAGAGACACTGAACTAAGGAGGGCATGGTATCATGGGCCAGCTCATGGAGATATGTCCTTAATCCTGGGAAGTCAGCCCCAGCAGGACAGCCAGGCCCAGACAGCCCATAGATGGGCATCCCTGCAACCACAGGGCTCCTTCTTACCTAGGCCCAAGGGAAAGACAGGGGCACCATTGCGCAGTGTCACGCAGACCCTGAAGGCCAGAGTTGTCTCAGCAGGGACAGGCAGATCAGATATCAGTTCAGACATCCCCAAGTGGGAGAGGAGGGATGATGAGATTCAAGGAGCAGCAACTGTGTTCCATGTCCCTAGCCAGGCCCTGCTAGCACGGGCCAAGGATGCAAAGAACTTCTAGCTATCTTTTCTACTGCCCATTTTGTCTTTGGGGCTATGTCTCCTCTAGCCAGTCAGAAAATCCTCCTCCACTCTCTCATAGGAAGAAAATTTCTCTTAAAGAGAAACTTTAGACAAGAAAATGTATTGATCTCATGCTGACACATATTCTGAAGAGGATGGTTCCTGTTTCTCATAACCAGGGATATTTTTTTCTTCCAAATAGTCTTTTGGATGGAATCCTGACTCAAGTGGTAGAGCACCTGCCTACCAAAATAGTCTGTTTCTTCTAATAGCTGATGTTTGTTGTGTTTTGGGCATATGTTTTGGAATTCCAAGGAGTCTTGAGCTTAGAGGGAAGGAAAGAGTTAGCTTCAACTTATATTGAGGGCCTGCTTGGGCTTCTCAAAGGTGGCCAGGGCCCTGGAGGGAGGTTCACATTGGCATTATATACCTGCCACCATCCCAGGTTCATTGCTCCTATGCAGATTCCATATTTTTAAAATACTTTATTTTTTTCATAATACTGTCATTACAAAAAATACAAAAAAAAAAAAAACTACTATAAAAACATTCAGGGACTTGTCAAAGTGAGAAAACCTTAAAGACCCCACCCCAGGACCAGCTGAAGCAGTCTTCCCCAGCTCCTTCACTATTTGACTTTCATACAACTGTGGGAGTGGGGTGGGGTCACACAGGCATAAAAGGGCTGGAAATTCCCCACACAGCCTCCAAGAAGGGTAAGAAACAAGTAGTTTCACATATCACAAAAAGTGGGATTTGGAAGTTTGGGGTAGCTAGGCCCTGAGTTCAGAGGTGTGGGGGGAAACCTGTGACCCTGAATCTCTTTGTGGAGAATAGCTGCCACCTGACCCCAAAGCCCTTTCCCTTCCTGATGAAGGCGGGAGATGGGCCCTGCCCCATCTCTTAGCCTTAATGCCTCAGGCACCTCTTCCCTTCCCTCCACCCTTGAACACTCCTCAGAGCACAGGGAGGACAGAACTTCCACTCTGAGTGATGTAGGCCGGGTAGTTATGGGGAGGCTGCTGAGGGTCAGTTTACCTTCCTGCCCCAAATGAAAGTGTCTCGTGCTCAGTGGCCCTGTTCATGGGTTATGGACCTTTCCATCCTATTTCCTCTCCCTCTTATCTCTTGGAGAGGCACAGACAGCTCTAGATGAGTGCTTCATGTGCATGAATATGTTTGTGATAACCTTGAACACTATGGACATGGGGTTGGGGGATGGGAAAGCAGTGTCCTTTCTATCCTCTTCCTCTCCCAATGGGAGGAATCCAAAGGGAAGGGAGAGGAAAGGCTGAGAGGGAAGAGGACATGCTATTTACAGGCATGGACAAGGAATCTATATCTTCAAGTAGCACTCAAGTCACTCTCCAGCCACTGGAGTGGGAGCTGGATTCAAAGCTAGTGACATGAAAATTGACCCCTGGTCTGGGCTAGCTCTCCCCACCTCCCTCCCACTCCCCCAAAGCAGCCCAGCTCTGAAAAGGGGTCAGGGGCAGGAACATTTTCCTGAAAACTAGTGGCTTTTTTTTTTTTTTTTTTTTTGCATTTTAGAAAAAGTTGCCTGTGTCCAGTGGACATCAAGCTGGGTGCACATTAGATGGGGTAGTGGGGGGGTATTGCTGTGGTAGACTCTGGACTAGCTGGGGCAGAGCCTAGGAACAGGGTAGGTGCTGCTTAAGGATCTGCCGTGTCTGTGGTGTTAATCTGTCTGGGAAGCGAACTTTGAACTCAACAATCAGGTCTCCCCGCTGAGTGGGCACCTTGGGGAAGGGAAGGCCCTCCCCACGGAGTCTCTTCACGGTGCCTGGCTTGATGACATCATTGCAGGGCAAAGGGATCACTCGTCCATCAATGGTGGGAATGTTCACAGTGCAGCCACACAGCGCCTGGAGCAAATGAAGCACAGAGTGAGGAAAAGGTAAAGCAGAGTGAGTGGGAAGGAAGGCAAAAGATTGAAATGGGGAACAAATGTGCCAGGAAGAAATATTTTCTATCATTACCCAACACACACACACACACACCACTGAGCAGAACCAGGAAGAAATATTTTCTATCATTACCCAACACACACACACCACTGAGCAGAACCTACCTCCTTGAGGCTGATCAGCGCACTGTAGAGCACATTGGTGCCATCTCGACGGAAGTGTGCATGAGGCTTGTCTTTGAGCACGAAGACAATGTCAGCAGGGATGTTGTCAGGTGTGGCGTCACCCTCTTTAGGGAAGGTGATTTTGGTGCCTTCCTTCCAGCCGCGCTTAATGACAATATGCAAGATTTTGTCTTCAGTGCGCACAGTTCGCCCGTCAGGGTTAAGGCGCCGCCTTGTTATCTTCATGCGTTTGGTGGAGCCATGATAGATCTCTTCCAGGGATACCCGCAGCTCATGCACCACAGGTGGGTCCTGCACCTTGCGCCGGGGGTACAGTGGTTCTGGAGCTCGCCTTGGACCCCTACTCAACCCATTGAAGCCAAAGCGGCCAAATGCACCAAATGGGTCCTCATCTTCATCCACATCCATGTCATCTGGGTCAAAGCCACTGAAGGGCCGAGTGGAGCGGCTGCTGGCAAAGAAGATATCGAAGGGGTTGGAGCCACCAAAGAAGGAGGCAAAGGTGGCATGGGGGTCCCCATGAAAGGTGTAGTGAAAGGAGCCACTGGAGCCACCTGATGTACCACCGCCGGTCTTCAGGCCTAGAGGGGAGGAGAAGTTAGGGGCAGTGTGGCCCATCCTGGCCCCACCCCAGTCTCTTCCCCCTGCCCTCTAGCTCCCAGTTCATGAGCCTAGAGAAAGAAGCAACCTTTAACTCCTGCAGAGAAGGCAGACTAACAGAGTAAGAAAAGCTTCTAGCAAGAGTAATCTACACTCTTAAATTAAATATTTAAGAATAATGTAGCTGGGCATGGTGGTGCCTACAATATCAGCACTGGGGAGGCTGAGGCAGGAGAACAGTGAGTTTGAGGCCATCCTGGGCAACTCAGTGAGACCTTGTCTCAAAAATGCAGCACAACAAAACAAGAATAATGTACATTTTTAGGTTCAAAGAAGCTGGGTTACTCAATAAGGTTGGAAAAGCTAGGGCTAGGGGACTTAGAGGATGTGACTTCCAATCCTGTAATCATTTCCACTTACTCATGGCCCAGTCATGTCTCATAAGTGGCTAGCCTGGCATCATATTACAAATCATAACTGGCTCCCAAATCTTTGCTTATCTCCAAAGACTCACAGAGCAAGAGGCATCAGACAGAATTTGACCACACAGGTCAAATGACCCCAAATGACACGGGGACACAATCCAGGAGGAAGCCCACTTTCATTCTGCTTCTAGCAACGATTCCTCTTTTCCTGATTCCTGCCCAAATAGGAAATTGGAAGGGCTCAAAAAAAGCAGGAAAAGCTCACTATCTTGGAGATAAGGAGCTATTTTTCTAGAAAAAGTTTTCAAATATTTTATTCCCATACTCTCACAGTATTGCACAGTTCTAAAGAGTGTCATTCACAAGTTGTACAGACATTGACTACAATGGGAATGGAGTTCTCTGGAGTTACATAACACCAGGTCTCACATCCCACATTTAATGTCAAGCAACCACCATACATGAAAGGGGTGGCACCCCACATGTGGTGACCCAGCTGCTTTTTCTGGAGTCTCCTGCCTAAGGGGCTCAGATACTGGATGGTGCCTTAATGGGGGTGATAATGGTAATGACAGGAGTAGTGAGGAGTATGAGGGGGTGGATTAACGCTGAGAACTGATCCAGAATATGTAGACTCAGGGTAGGGTCTAGGCTAAAAGAAGAGAACTTTTTCTTAAGGCTTTTTTTTTTTTTTTTTTGGTGCTGTTGGTATCAAACCCAGGGCCTCACATATGATAGCTTAAGTACTCTAACACTGAGCTATATTCCCAGCTTTCTATGAGACATTTTATCTAGAATTTCAATTGACTGTGAAAGCTTGAGCCTAAATTAGCCTCTTATTTCCTGTGATCATAGGGGTAGATTTGGGTTTTATCAGAAAGGCCAAGTGGCAGGCAGTTCAGGGACTTGTGCAGCTGCCTCTTCACCCCTCTCCCCGAGACTTAGGGTCTGTTCTTTCCTTCTATTGAACAAGTTCAAGAAGCTTGGCAGAACTCTGTGAGATGGGGAGGGAGGTTGGCCTGATAATGATAGGAGGGAGGGAGTAATTCTCACTGTGGGATTCCTATTCTACCACCACCCCCTTTTCAAACTGGGAACAACTTGTACAAAGCCAGAGCTTCACATAGTCTGTGTGCACAATTGCTCTGGCTGGCTATTAGGGAGGGGGCAGGGTGGACTGAAATATAACCATTTCTAAAGTTGCTTCTTCCTCAGGCCCTAGAGGTAGCACTAAGGCCATGGTGCATCCTCAGGCGCCCTCCTAGGATGAGGATCTCTGTCAGTACCCAGAATCTGGATGTAGGGTTTGAGTGTGGCCCTTTACTTAGGCTAGGTCATACAGGAGGGGTGAAGTTTTAGGGTAGCTTTCCCCATTCCCCTTTCCTAAACAAAGGTAAGGCTGAGTGGAAGAATGAGTGCAATTCTGACACAGGTCACATGATGGCATGGCATCTGTATTGCTTTCCTCTTTCTCACCCCTACACTTCCCATCCTGCTATCCCAGAAAGAAAACATTTGTTAGCTGGGAGAATGCTGGGGATTCCAGGAAGTAGCTGTTGTGGGATTTGGCAAGTTTAGGAGTGAACAGAAAAAAAATGGAGAATAAGAAGAGGGGTGGGAGGATTGGGGCAAATAGTATAGGGCAGAGAGGAATGGAATACAAAGCATGGCTGAGGGGAGAAAAGAACATTCTCTTGAACCCCTGCTTTGTATCAGGTACAATACTTATTATTAGTCTATCTCATTTTGAGGATAGAGTGGGGAGGATGAAGAGGAGGAGAATGTTAAGGAAAGGTGGATATCATTGGGGAAGAAGGACAGTTTTTCCCAGGAAGAAGAGTCCTCAGTTGTGACAATGTCTCTTAATATAGCCTGACAGGTGCCTGTGGCTGGCGGGTGGCAGGCAGCCCTGAGGGGCAGGCCCAGAATTAGCAGCTACATCATGCCCGTGGGATGTGTGGGAGGGGCCACCCTCTTAGAGGCTTTATTTGGTCCTTTCCTGCTGCCTGCCTGCCCTGTGCGTGGCCACCAGCTGCCCCAGGGAGGGGGTAAGATGCCAGCAGCAGCAGTTCCCCTTCCACCCTTGGATCCCTGCCACTTCCTCTGGGAGGTGAGGCTCCACTTCTGTTCTGCTGGCCTGACGTGGGCAGAATGGGGGAAGGGAAGGGGACAACCATTTCCACTCAGAGCTCTGGCGGTTAATTCCCAGGCTGCATAAGGGCCAGACTTTTATGCTGATGAATGTAAATGCTCTGTCCTCAGAGAACCACAGGCTCCCTCTCCCCAACCTTCCTATCAGCCAATGAAGCAGCAGGGACTTCAGGCAGGACTAATAAGGCTGAGAAGGAAAGAGAGGGGAAGGCTTCTAGCTCTGGTTTCAGACCTCTCTAAGGCCTGGACTTGACGGGGGGGGGGGGGGGGGGGGGCGAAGAACTATAGTAAGCTGGGGCTAGGTAGTAAGCAATCTCCTCTACCAGTCCTTGCCTCCCTCTCCCCTCCTCAGCCTCAGTTCTTTGCTATGGGAACTGGTTTACCCAGGGCTCCAGACAAACACAGTGTTGCCATCTTACCTTCCTCCCCATACTGGTCATACAGGCTCCGTTTCTTAGGGTCACTCAGCACATCATAGGCCTCTGCAATCTCCTTAAATTTCTCTTCAGCATTGGGATCTTTGTTCTTGTCTGGGTGGTACTTCAAAGCCATCTTCCTATAGGCTTTCTTGATCTCATCTTCGTTGGCCCCTGACGGGATCCCAAGAATCTTGTAGTAATCTTTTCCCATCACAGCCACTGGACCGGTGCTGGTCTCCTTGTTTCTGAAAGAAACCCAGGGCCAATCCTTGATGCTCCTATTCTCTACTGCCCAGCCCTGCTCCTGATGATCCTGCAATCCCTAAATGACTCCCTGGGTGACCTTCAATAGGTCATGCCTGTTCTGTGGGCCTCTCTGTCTCTCCATCCGTAAAATGAAATGTTTGGACTAGATGGTCTCTTCTAGGACCGACATACTACGATTCTATGATTTCTTCCTCTACTCCTGGGCTTTCTCAGCAAGAAGCTGAAGGTTGTGGTCCACTTCTTGTGGCTAGGCTGAGACCCAGGTCTTTGGGCTACATGGAGGACCCCTAAGAGGTCCTTCTGAGTGAGGTAGCACTGTGGACTGACAAACTCACATACAGAAGCTGGCGAAGGTCAGTGTACTGGGTGAGGTCACCTGAGCTTCATGGTCTCCTACGCCACACCTCAGGCATGGTGCCCAGGCTGAGGACAGCTGAGGCAGGACTCAGAACAGACCCAGGTCTTTAGCCAGCTGTGTTGGCTAGCCAGGCTGAATCAGGGTAAGGGTGTCTGGAATCTTTGCCTTTGGAGACCCCAGGCTTCCCTGTCCCTACCCCCAGACTATGCTAAGCCTCATGTGTGACTCAGATCACAAAGTGACTCAGAGCCTTTGGAAACTTCTGTTTCTGAAGCCCTCATTAGCAGAGGATGACACTGTCTTTCCCTCAACGAGGGCAACAGTTGTCTTTACTCATTTCCCAGTGTCTACACACAAAACTGTGATTTATTTGTGCTGCCTAAGCATTAGTGTTAGTGAACAAAAGCATCCTGGGCTAGGGCCCTTTTCAAACTAAGCTGCTGGGAGACAGCTGGGCTCTAACCACCATTTCCTCAACACCTTCCCTGCAGGTCCCTCCCTCTACCTGCCCCTGTGGTTTGGGATCTGTCCCAATACTAGACCCACCCTTCTCTGACAGCCTCTTCTAAGTGGGGTGTTGGGGTATCTGTTATATGAAGGAGAAACACAGGGCTCTGATTCTTCCACTCTCATCTCCTCCCATCAACGCATCTGTGGAGGACACAAAGGGAAGGGGATGTTTCCTATATCTAGAGCGATTTTGGGGAATAGCCAGAAGCCATTTTTTAGCCCTTCTGAGACTTGGCCAACCCTTGCCAAAGCCAGGAAAACCAGTCTTTCTAGCAATGTCTAAGGCCTGTTTTTCTGCCTTTGACTACCTGCACAGCAGTGAGGTGTACCAGGGTGTCCTGGCAGGAGTGAGGGCTGTGACTGTTAAGAAGGAGGCCTCCGAGGCTCCAGGTAGGCAGGGACAATGGCCCTAATTCCTGCCCCCATAGGGCCTGCTGCAGGTGGCTGGGTTGACTCATGGTGCTGGGAGTCACTTCACTCTGACGAAGAAAATGTACCATAAAGGCGGGTACTCCCCCATCTCCCCACACTAGCATGTCACGCCTGTGGGGGAGACTGGAGTTGGGGGAGGCAGAGAAGAAAGAGCATCTGGGGGAGGGCAGCCATTTTCGGAAGCAGCAGTAAAAGCTGTCTGAGAAGGAGTTGGAGGTGGTCTACCATCTCTGCCTCAGCCCCCACTTTCTTTCCCCTGGGAAAGGGAAAGAACCCTAGTACACCAACACAGTTCCCCAGCAAACTCTAGCAGCTTCTAGGCAGAGGGAAAGTGGAATGGCTCACCAGTCCACTTACCCTCCTTTTGCTGTCCCTGCCTTACCTCTTCACTCTGCCAGCTTCCTCCCTGGTACCCACTTGCCAGCTATTCCAAACCCATAATTCTCTTGCCTCCACAGACACAGGGCAAACTCTTTCAGACCTGCCTCTTTTTCCTCCTCCTCTGTTCCACCCTTTTCCCTCCCCCTACCCAGCACGTGGTGGTAGAATGACAAAGGAGCCCCATGGCATGGCACTGCCTTTGATGGAGAAGAATGAGGAGGATGCTAATGTAGAGGCAGGAATGAAAAATGACAAGGGGGACTATTGCAGTCTAGGAGGGGATGTGGTTGATACAGAAAATGAGGTACTGATGGAGGGGGATGAGATGACAAATGGAAATGGCTGAGGTGGAAAACAGGTTACTGATGGGACAAGAGGGAAAGCTGTAGAGATTTGAAATATTGGAAGAGATGTTTGTGGGAAAAATGGGTTTGAAAGAGGAGATGAATGAGAATGGGTACAATTCATTCAAATAAGCAGGTGGGGACGAGATGAGTATGAAATGGAGGAAACAAGTAGACAATGGAGGGCATGGCTGATGACGAGAATTTGAACTTGGTGTGGGTATGAGTGCCCTTCTCAAGAGGGACTTACCGAAACTTTACAAACCCATTCAGCGTCCACGCTCGAAGTTTTAAGGGCTCCAGCTGAATTTTAAACATCAAGCTGGCTAAGAAGTCTTCTCCCCAGAAGTGTGGGAAGCTCCGGAAAGCTCCTCGAGCCTGTAGTGGGGGTGCTGCTGGGGGTGGGCAGGAGAGCACTGTGCGCTTAAACATGCCCAGCCAAGCCCCTCACCTCTGATTGCTCCACCGGAGCCTGCTTGGAACGCTGCTGCTCTGGAAGCCACCTCCTCAGATTCTCAGAGGCCCTTGCCCAGCAAGGCCTGACTGGTGCTGCAGGAGCCGGACCTGATCCCCGGGTGCGGAGAGTGAAGGGACAGGGTCCAGCGGCTACCTGCTCTCAGGTACAGCAGTGTCTGATTGTGAGTGGCTGTATGGAAGTGTGACAGTGAGGTTGGCAGTGGCAGTGTGTGCTTGTGAGTGGCAGCGTGTGTACCTGTGACAGGTGGGATTGTGAGGGTTTGAGAGGCAGTGAGCTCCTCTAGCCTCTCTCTGGGGAGGACCCAAGCCCAATCCGCAAGAACCTACTCAATGAAGTCACTAACGGGGTGTTTCCTCCCCCGCAGATGGGAGGGGAGGGGCGGGGCAGAGCCGAGCCTGGCCTGGACAAAAGGCGCGGCAGAGAGGAGGGGAGGGGGTTGGGACGGGGGAGGGGTTGGGATGGGGGAGGGGGTCGGTGATGTCACCCGAACTGGCTGACTGGCCTGCCCGTCGGAATCCAATCCGACCCAACCCGACCCTCGCCCGGCTCACGCGCTGGCTGCCTTCTGTGACAGCTAAGCACCTTGCAGACCCTGAGTCCCCAGTTACCGCACCCCGCACAGCATCAGAGCCTGTGGGCCCTCGGTGTCCCAACCCCCGACAACAAGACCCCTGGCTTAGCGACGCCCCGCTCCCGGGACCCCTCCTGGATAGGCGCCCTCACCGGTGAGGAGCTGCGGGCACCGCCGCGGTCCGTCAGACAGCCGCTGCCCCCTCCCCCGGCTCCGGCTCCGCCGCCTCCACTCGGGACAGGAGTCGCCTGCCCGCCGGCCGCAGACAGCGGGACCGGGAGCCCGCCCCCACGGCTCCGCCTCCGCGCCGCCCATTGCGTTGTCTGCCCGTCACTCAGCTCATCCTCTCCCGTGATTGGGCATCTTTCAACGAGCTATTGGTGGTAGCCGCCCCTTCTCCGCCCCTGTCACCCGGCCACACGCGCACACATTCCAGGCAGTGATTGGTGTGGGTGTGATTGGTGCCCTTTGGGATCAATCAACCACACCTCTTCGCCATCTCATCGTGTAATTGGTGAAAAGGACAGAGGGCGGCAACACCACGCGCCATTTGATTTTATTGGTTCATCTCTGGGACCCGACCCGCGGCAGGGGGGCAGTATATTAGCCGAATCTCGGGTTTGAGAAGGTGGGACGTACTGGCGGTGGTTTGAAACTGGGGAGAACCTTCTGGAACCCGTGCAGTGTCAAAGGCAGCCTTAAAGCAAAACTGCGTCCAGCAGTTGGCCGTGACACTAAGGCATTCCCTCACTTAGGAGAGTAAAGGAGCTAGAATAGTGCACTCCGGGAGGTGTAGTACCTGGACTAGGGCCAGAAGGCCACCCCTTCTTACCTGTCTCCCATCCAATTGTCAATCAACCTCGTCCTGACCTGACTTTACCTTTTAGCTTTACCTTACCTTGACCTGGGATTGACCGGACATGGCCTAACGGAATCTCAAAACAGAGCTCTCTGGACATGAGAGTTTAAGTGCCCTTTGTGATCTTTTTGCGGGTAACCTGGTACCTCTCCCCAGAAGTGTCACCTCCATGATTCTCTTTCCAACCCCCTTCCGACCCTCGTATAATCCCTTCATCCCATTTCCTCCATGAACATCCCCTTCTCAGTAACTGCCATAGTTCCCATTTCAGGTCCCCTTATAATATATCAGCCTTTCCTCTTCCCCTTCTCATCCCTCTTCTTGCCCGGTGTCCCTAAGAGCTCGTCTTACCCCAGTTTTCTGTCTTGTTCTCTTGTTCTTTTTTTGTATTGTCCCATTCTTAACCCTTCCTCTATCTCCGTGTTCCCCCGTCATAGCTCCCCCTCTAACCCTCCATCTTGCCCCACTATGATCCCCTTCTTAACACCCTCAGTCTCTCCCATCACAGTCCCCCGGACCCCCAATTAAATAATTAAATCTCAGCCCCAGTGTCCCCGATGCTCAGAGCAGGCGGGGCTGCGGAGGCGGTCGCCAGCGGAAGCCGCCGCTAGAGCAGACACCGAGCCTGGCGCCCACGTTACTGTCTCCCAGGCCCATCTGTGCTTGGAGGGAGCGGGGGTGGGAAGGGGGTAATCTGGGGGTGAAGAGGGGGAAGGGATTCTATGACAAAGAAAAGGCCTGAGAAGAAGCTCTTACCTACTTCTTCCTTTGCCAGTTCCCAGAGACAGTTTAGACACCCATGAGGTCTTGCAAACTGGGTGGAGCTGGAGTACCTAGGCCACAGAGTAGAGCAAGGACCTGGCAGGTCTATATTCTCTTCTCTGCCTGCCTTCTTTCCAGTGCTCACTACTGAGCTCCCAAGTGTGAAGGGGATATGAGTTTAAAGTAAGAAAGCTGAGAAGAGGATGACAGGAAGTGGGGCAGAGGGCTGAGGAGAGAGGGGAGGGAGATGAGGTTGAGGGAGGTGGGATGGGGAATGGGGAGGAAAGGGGAGATAGGATGGAGGTAAGGAGCAGAGAGGACATGAGAGCGTGGAAGGGAAAGTGGGGTTAGGGAATAGAGTGTGGAGAAAGTGGCACGTGCAGCAAAACCATGGGGCAAGAGGAATGAGGAAGGGAAGGGACAGGTGCAGTGCTGAGGGGATGGAAAAGAGTGACATGGAGATGATGGAGATGAGTAGGGTGGGATGAGGGGGCCCAGAACTGATGCTGACTCCTCAGATATGGGGGCTCTTGTTCCCTCTCCTCCTGACTCGTGGGGGCTTGGGCTGTGGGTGGCTCTGCTTCTTCCTATTCTAGTACTGTCTCCTGCTCCCCCAGCTTTGCCTGTGCCAGCACAGAGGCAGAGTTT